TGTGCATTAATAAAAGGATCACACAGACCCCCACAGATCATACTACCTACAAATGATGGAGCAGCTTGCTCAGAGGCAGAACTATGCAGTTTTTAAAGAGCACAATACAAAACTTCTTCTCTTCTATCACTTGCACCATTTTTATGCTTTCAAAGCACTTCTCAAATATTAATTAGCTCTAAATAAATTCTAATTATTTCTAAGAGTGGCCCTAGCAGATCTGTATCATCTGGTGTGAAATCTGACTTCAGTGAAGTCAACAGCAACAGCTCCTGAGACCTCAGCAGAGCTGCCATTCCCTTGCCATTGCTGAAATCTGGGAGCTGTGTCTATTATCTGCCGAGTGCCACAAGGAGGGCGGAACCAGCAGCAGCAACCAGTGATAGGGGGTGGGATGAGAAGGAAGGAAGGGTTAAATGACCTGAGCCAGTCTGGGGAGCCCAAAAGTGGGAGAAGCTCTGGGAAATGCAGCAATCGGACTCTGTTTGATTTCAGCATCAGCTGAAAGGTGCTCACCTGCTGCTAAAACCAGTTTAAATAGTTGGGATACAGGGTCAACTCCTCAAATCTGCTCATGCTGCCAATCATGAACTCATTTACAATAACCTTGAAACATCAGTCCTTTGGAAAAAGATTTGCCCTATATATCTATCTAAAAATTACACATTAGGTGTATCATAAAATACATATAAAGAGGTGTGCATGGAAAACTCAAAAACCTTAAATTTCAAATAGGACACATTACATTAATAACTAAATACAGGGCAAGTTAGTATGCAATCAGTATCTACCTTGCTAATTGTGGATTATATAGCCCATCACATACTGCCAACTTTTTTTTCCTCATAAGAAAAAGTACTTCAGTTGTAAATAATAATATTAAATATTTTATACATGCAATTATATCTAGGTATGGAGGTTAAAAATTAACTGGAAGCAGAGAATATGAATCTTTTTCTCAAATAGAAATGTAATCCTAATAGAAGTTCCTCCCTTCATCTCTGCCAACTTTACCACCACACAATATGCCATAGAGAAAAGAGGGGAAGTGTCAACTTGTGTAAATTGTCCCTTATGTAATGCAAACCATCTGTTTAAAAAAACAAAACAAAATGAAAACCCAAGCCACTCCCAAGCATGATCTGCTATGGGGAAAAAGAAAGAAAAGGAAATGCAGTACATCAAATTGGAAGCCAAAGACCATGACCTGCCATGTAACCACGGAGAAAATATTTACCCCTCTCCTCCCTTTATTTACCCAATTTTGAAAAATATTTGGAAAAGCATAATTGAATCATTTGCTCTGCACATAATAGAGACTGATACTGCTGGATTCTTTTGAGCATTTCATCTCTCTAGAATGTTTTCCATCAGGCTGGAACCCAGCAGAGAAAAACTCTTTGTTTCCAACACCACATCTCAGAGTGATGCCACCACTGGGTGAGAAGGTCCTGGGTCCTCAGTCACTGCAACCTGGCAAAGGATGGGGACAAAGCATCAGTGTATTCTGCCCTTCCTTGGGTATCTGCCATGAAAGGAGTCCAAAGGGACCACTGCTATCAACTGTTACCATTATTTTTGTGTTCTCTTCAGTCTAAATGCCAGAAAACAAAGTGTGTGTAGAGAAAGCAGTGCTCTTCTCTTCCAGCCTCTGTCTGGTGAGTGATGAGTCCTTTGGTAAGCACTGCCTGAGGAACCCACTTTTCATTCTGAAATCATTGGGGGCTCACAGTTCACCCTCTCTGGGGAGGCACAGGTGGGTCAGAAAGCACTGAATGAGTTAAATTAGCACAAATGTCCCTCTGAATGTGTCTCCAAAGCCAAGGAGCTCTGCAGCACTAGCTACTTATGAAAATATTGGTTGTTGCAATAATGATCTCTTCTTTCTTCCCCAAATTTTCAAATCTTGCTTTTTTTTGAGGAACAGTATGTGAAAACTTTCATAGCTTTATGTTCTTTGTGACTGGAACTGAATAGTCACGTGCAGTTTTTTATCATTCCTATCTGCAAGTTGTTAATGCTAATAAATAACAGAGTCATCACTAGAGAATTTCCATCAATCAGCCACAGAAGAGAATTCTGAAAAATGCAATCAGTCCAGAAGGAAGGGCAGATTTTCCAAAAGGACTGGGAAGATGTGGAAGATCCATTTTTGTCAGGCACAGACACTGATTTTAAATCCCAGAAGGGCAGTCATGTACAGAAGATGCTGGTGGGGTCTTTGGAAGCTCCTAGGAGGGCTTTGCTCCCAAAAGCAAACTCAGTAAAAATCAGGCATTTAATCCATCCAGAAGCTGAGCAAATTAAACTGCTGGACATTCTCTAGATTTGTGCATTTGTCACTCTTAACAGGGAGGTTTAGTCTCCTAAATGACTCAGGTGGTGCTTAACAAAATTGTACCCAAACTCTCTGGCTTACAGACTTTGCCAAGTGGACTGACACACAATAGGGCAAGCAAAAAAATGGGAGAAATAGTTGTGGTGGTCTGTCAAAACCACGACTTGATGTGAACATATCGTAGATTGAAGACAGCTAGGTGGAGCTTTCCAGGTGTCGCTAAATGTGAGTTTTTGTTTACCCTAGATGCTGAGTGAAAGGAAGAAACCCTTTGGACTACTTATCACTTCTCCTCAGCCAAACATGCCAGGCAAGCACCAAACATAGAGCTGCCTTTTTCCACTGGCTCCTGCTCAGCCCTGCAGCTTGGCACGCTGCTCATCCAAGCCTCACTGCCAGAAGCAGCACAAACTTTGCTCTTTTTGCCTTTCCATTTTCAGGGTTACACAAACACCTAACGCCACATCTATTTCACAGATGTGAGGAACTACAGGACTATGGTGGAGTTAATACTACATAGATGGGAGGAACTACAGGACTATGGTGGAGTTAGTATTTCATGGATGTGAGGAACCACAGGACTATCATGGAGTTAATATTCCAAAGATGTGAGGAACTACAGGATTATCATGGTTTAAGTATCCCATAGATGTGAGGAACTGCAGGATTATCATGGAGTTAGTATTCCATAGATGTGAGGAACCACAGGACTATCATGGAGTTAATATTCCAAAGATGTGAGGAACTACAGGATTATCATGGAGTTGATATTCCATAGATGTGAGGAACTGCAGGACCATCATGGAGTTCATGCGCACGCAGCACAAAGAAGGGAAAAAAACACCTCAGCTCCTTCTAGCCAAGCTGGACCTGACTAACATGGAAACAATATCATCTGCCAGACCTGTCTAACAGCGTGCTTTGCTGACCTTTTCCAGACCCACAGTGATGGCAGCATTCACATTCAGCGTGGCTCTCAGCTACACATTCTGCAGTGTGAATCACTGAGAGGATGAGTGTGTGAAATCACTGGAAGAACTGAATGAGACCATGTTTTGGCACTGCAGCTCTGAGGGATGGGAAGTGTTTGGAACAGTATTTGCAACAGTGGTCCCAGTCTGTAAAATATCAGGAAAAGGTGTTAGTGGCCAAAGAAACTGAGTTAGTGCTCAAGTACTTGCCTGTGATGTTCAGAAGCTGAGAGAAATCTGAAATTGTGGGCTAAGCCAGCTTAACTAAAGAAATCTTTTTATGTTCTAAGTGTACAAAAAATGCAGCAGTGGCAAGTGCTGAGTAACTCAAACCAGCTGATGAGTTAATGAGTTAGTCAAGGATACAGATGGGTACAGTGACATGGACACAACAAACACCCAAAGCAGAGACAGAGAAGGGTACAACAAGCAAGTCCGGGATAACTCAGTAGAAAACTGATGCAGAAGAGTTCTACAAGTGCATGAAAACAAGTCTGTGAAATTCATGCTCTAACTAAGTTTATTCACAGAAATAAAGTTCCTTCATTATTTCTTAACTTGTACTTATCCTCATCATGTTGACAGGAAGATGAAATCCTATGGAAGGCTTAAATAAAATATAAAAAAAATCTGCAGAATGCAGAGAACAATACAAATCTTTCAAAGATTAAAACAAGTAGATGCTATATTTTTAAGTGTTAGGCTCTCACAAATATCCTCAGAGTTTGTGTTAGTCCATCAAACTGAAAGGCATATGCTATCTTTGATCTCTGTGCAGAGCCTCCGTTGAGATTAATGTGAGCTCTGTGTGAAGAAAAAGACTAGAATAGGCCCTCAGTTCACAAATAGCAAGCAGTCTGCTCCAGGAAAAAACATGTTTTCTTACAACAGTGTTGAAATTTATTGGGAAGTTTCAAATAGCTTCTCTTCAGATGCAAGTTGTGGTCATGAGCATGTTCACTTGTCAGAAAGACCTGTCAGGGAGAAGGTGCACAAATGCAGCTCTCGTGTCAGATGTTTGGCTGTTGTGTAGGAACACATCCCTCATCTCTGACAGCCTTTTCTCATGCTGTAACCAATCCCCTGTTTCTCACTCATCCCTGCGAGCTGATGGCTCTGTGCATGGACAGGGTGCTGTTTCACACAGCCTGTGCCCTGCAGTGCCCACTCCAGGTAAAGGAATGCCCCAGCACTTACTGCATCCCGCCTTGTAGCTGAAGCCAGGAGGAAGGAGGAATCCTTGCTGGGCAGCTGCTGCCAGGGTGCGCTGGTCTGGAGGGAACACGGGGATCATCAATGGAGGCAGCTGACCCTGGACCTGCTGAACAGAGAGGGACAATCAAACACACCATTTGGGGGGGACGAGGTCTGCAATGTGCTTGCTCTCACTGCTGCTCTGAATTCACCTCTTCATGTTGGGGTGCTCCAGCAGCATCAGCTGTGGGGCTTCATCTTCATCACCAAACACCTCATGTGAATGACATGAACCCAAAATAAACTGAAATGTTTCACTAAGGCATATCTACATCCCACTTAATTATTCCCCCCACAGCTCATGATGGCTCACTTATCTCTGGCTGTAGGGGCTGCTTCCTTCTCTTTCACTAACTGTGCAGCAGTATCTGTCTCAGACAGTAGCTCCCACCCTGACCAAGCCCAAACACAGAGACACCTCCTCAGAAAGGAAAAATAAGTGTACAAGTAGCACACAGCACAGCCACTGCTATTTTCCTGCTCATACACGTGCACTCATTTGTACAAGTGAAAAGATAAAGCCTCAAAAAAAGGCTGAGAGCCTTTACTCACAAATCAAACAGCAAAGTCTGAAGAGTTAGGCGTTCAACTTTGCACAGCAACTCTACACAAGCATGCAAGTCAGGAAGTGGAAAATATTATATTGTAAGTGGATACTGCAGGGGACTAAAGCCATGCAGAAATTAGTCATCAAAGCTGGAAGTGGGCCATGGCACAATGTCTACTGCTGCTGCTTTTACCCAGTTCTGTTAATAGCTTCTATAATTGATAGAAATGGAAGCTGTCTCTGGATTTCACACAGATGAGAAACACAAAGTTTGCTGGGTTAAAATGCTGAATGACTAGTTTAAATTTAAACCCCCACTGCACTGAGCAGATCACTCAGTCAAGAAGGATCGATCCATTTTTAAGAGAGCTCATCCAGATTTTAGTGGCGCTGAGGCATTGGAGATGGAGATGTCTTTGAAAACTATGATTTATTTTGTGGTTTAAGTAACTCAGGAAAGCAGAGTATCACAGAGAAGCTCCTATGCTGAGGGGCACACAAAGGTGTCACTCCCTTCATTGCTGCCTGACAGCAGAACCTGCCCCTGCCCTTGGCTGCCACTGCTCAGAACACACCATTTACACTTCATTCTATTTTCATTTATTCTCCTTAAAATCCAGGCCCCGTCTTGGTTCACCCAACACCATTACCAGGCAAAACATGATACAAAATTTGGGATTACCATCCCTTCTAATTTATGCCGGAGCTGGCAACACCCCTGTGTGTGCTGACTCTGTCTGTATGGTCTGAAACAGTTTTCAAGGATAGAGTTCAAGAGCACTGTTGACAGAAATTCTTGCAGTGAGAGATTAAGATTGAGCCTGAAACACAGAGTAGATGTAGCGCCACTCACTGAACCAGCTTGATCCATTTTTTGTTACTTCAATATTTGCCTTTCTGTTCTGATCCTGTTAATTAGAAGGCATACATATTTTCAGCTGAATTACAAGATAAAACCCATATAAAATGTGATTTGTTCTCTATCTGCACAGATATCCTAGAGCTGTCCAATACCTGCCTTTTCTTCACGTGTTCATTTTTTGTTTGTTTTGTTTGAGGTTTTGTGGTTTGGTTTTTTTTTTGCCCTTTTTTTTTAAGACAAAGACAAAGTAACTGTATTCTTTTAGAACAAAAATGAACAGCCATGCGGAATTTTTGCATAGTACTCTTCTTCGGCAAAAAGCCACAGAACTTTTTTTTTTAAATGGTTTCCAAGGATGAAAGTGACTTTGCCAAGCGAAGAAGCTTCAAAACAGGACTCAAAAAACACTAATAGAAAGACAGATGGTTCTACTAAGTGCTTTGCTGCCAAAAAAAATGTTAAAAAAAGTGAAAAAAATGGAGTGATGTTATTGAAGCTGACTGCAAAGTTCTCTGATGACTGCAAATACTCTTGTCCCACTGCAAGTGTTAACTCTGCCTCCAGGGCTAATATAACTGAAGCACCACACACACACAAATTGTCATTGCCAAGCCCACAATGTAGCTTAAGTCTGCACTTGATTCCAAGTGACTGCCAAACACACGAGCAAAACACCACACTGAAAAATTCCCATTTAGGAAAACATTTACCAGGAAAATGCCCTTTCTTCCTAAATCTGACTGATGCATTTCATTTTTTTTTTTCAAATTGCTGCTCCTCTTTAACTCTCCAAGGGGCCTTATAGCCCCTCATTTCAAATGACACAACCCTGTTTGCATTAGGGAGGTAAAAACTATGGGGTGTTGAGGATGGTTTGCATGGATATAGAAATAACACAGTCAAAACAATGTGATTTTCATTCCAGGATGGAATGTATGGAGCAGCACTCAGCTACACTTCATTTTCCCCTAAACACAAATAAATGCAAACATTCGTTTATTTTAATCCGATTACCTGACATAATATCTCACAAATTGTGGACTCTCCATTTTTATGGCTCATATAACTACTACATTTTAACTCGTTATGTTTATTATTATTATTATTAACTAGAATTGCTAGGATACAACTGCCTCAAGTGGCATTGAATACAGGCCCTCCTTCTGAGTTTTACATCTAAGGTGTTTCCCCCTTTTTTTTTTTCTTTTCAAGGTGTTACTACATCAGTTAAATCTCTCAAATGTTTTTATAATCAGTTAAATCTCTCAAGCATTTTTTATTTTTATTGGAAGCTTACATACCTTCCAATATTTTCTGAATTGTAACTTCCTGATACTGCACTTCTAATTTGAATATAATGGACTGCAAATCAGGGCTGTTTTCCAGGCCCTTCAATTTGTTCAAATGTCCATAAAAAGAAATACCTCTTCAACAATCTAATAATTCACACAGCTGTCAAGACTCTCCACTGGCCAGCCTCTCTATGTGTGACCCCTTCTCAGGTGTAACATCCTAAAGGAGACAACTGTATTTTAAATCCTCACAAAATTCCCACTGGATTTAATGAGCCACAATTTCGCCTTGTAACTTCTTACCTACTTTAGGATGTTATTCTGGAGGATACAGGCACAGTCCTCCAAGATTTTCCCAGTTTTCCAAATTGTCATCACTGGGTTACCTGAGCACACTGTGAACCCCTCATTAATTTTTTTCTTTCCTCTGCGCAGATATGTTTGGCCAGTGCCAAACCACCACACCAGGAAACCTCCATAGCCACTAAAAATCAAAAAAAGAGCCCACTCCTGAAGAACTTAATGCAAAAATCAGTGTGAGCACATGACAAGCAACCCATAGTAAATGCACTGTCCAAGGGGGAAGCACCCACAGCTGCCTGCAGAGATTTCCGAATCGGGAAAGTGCCTCAATGTTGTGTTTATTTGTCTCAGTGCCTTTGGAAAGTGTGGCCCTAAATGGCTTACCATATCAAAGGGAATGTGTTGGCAAACCTGAGCCAATTCAAGCTGCTGAAGCCTGGGCCAGCATCTTCACAAATCTGTGCGTGTCCTTTATGGCCTGACCATAACAAATCCAAGCACACAAAGACACTGCATTCACCACAGTCACAGTGAATATCTCCAGGATTCTCAGCTTCGTTATAACCGTAGTATTTCCACCTCAATTCTGCTCCCTGTCCCCTTTTAGGAACATACTATGGTTACCACAGCTACCTAAGCACCAGGCAGTATGTTTTTAACAGTTACCCCCACTGTTTGTTACTAGCTCCTGCTGTGACTTCCACAAATTTAGATTGCAACCACTTGACAACTACAGTTCTATTTTCTGTAAAAAGTCACGTGTGCCTTGGGTCACTATGTAAATAGCTACACAGGGAAAGCAGTTTAAAGGAACATTAAGATGGCAAAGTTGGACATCTGTGGCTCAGAGAATGCCAGGATCAGGGAAACATGCATGAACTTATTTTGGTTCTTCATTGCCCCTGCATCCAGACAGAATCCTTGAAGTGCAGGGTTTCCCCTTTATATGACTCAATCTAGAAGGTTTATCCCATTTCTCAAGTCACATAAATCCATACTTTCAGCAAACTAAGCCCCTAAAATAGCTGCTGCTATTAGTTCTATCTATTTTCTCCTCATACACTTCCCCCAATTTCATTTCTGCAGCTGTTCATTACATATTTATTAGCATCAACTTTTATCTAAGTTTTCCTCTCTCCAAGGTAAATATTTCAGTGCATTTCCCAGCATCTATATAGATATTTATAAATAACATTTTCCACTGAGGGGCAAATGCTGCTATGCACCCACCTCTAGCTCTTCAGAAGCAATTCTATTCCTTTTGGTGAGACTGGTGATGGATAATGAATTACTGAGTATGGATAAGAGCAGCTGCTAAAAACAACATTTTCCTCTCTACAACCTGACCAAACTCTGCACAGTACTTCACTCCTGAACTGCTCAGAAGTGTGGCTAATTTTTATTTTCATTGGAGTTATTCTCAGCTGCCCCAAATAAGTTCAGATATTTCATTCCTAGGACGGTGGATGCACATGAATGATCTGATTAACTTCAAAGTGTTGTAGGAAATATTTTCCTGCTCGTGACTTGTCTGGAAGTTAAGCATCTCTTCCACTGTTCAGGGAAGAATGCAATGCACATTTCACATGCAGCAACACAAATCTGTCCCTCAAAGCTGACATGTTTAATTGCATTTGTCCCCCTTCCTCCAGAAACACTTGGCTCCCAGTGCCACACACTCTGCTGAAGGACTGCATGCTTTAATTAGCACATGTGTTGGCCCTCCTTACCTCACCCCCCTCCCCGTGTCTATCTTAAGGGAAATAAAAATATATGTCCCCATATAACTACAATCTGCTATTTTCCCTTGCAGTGATGTTTAAAATAAGACAAGAAAATGTTTTTCTCTCCTGTGCATCAGTTCCCTAAGTTGCCACAAGTATGTCCTGAGCCCACAGAGCAGGAAGCCCTGCCTGTCCAGCTATGGGATGATCCCTCCTCCTGGGTTTGGGGTGCGTTTTATGGGGTGCTCACTGAGTGTCCAGCATGCACAGCACAGGGTGGGAGCCATGAATTAAAAGTGCATTTTTTCTTCCCAATCACCTCCTGTAAGCTCTTCTGCA